TACTAAGTACTGATCTCTAAGTAGGCACTGAAGTGCGCACAGCACATGCTGCCGGCTGTAAAATCAGAATCAGCTGACAGGCGAAGTCATTTTAAAACTTCCAAATGTCTCACTGGGGTCTTCAGGTGCATCTCTGAGGGATTGGCACAAGAGCAAGAGAGTTATCCTTGAACTTGGCCCCGATGCCTTTTCTTTGTGTAACTGTGCTGTGCTGATCATGAACTTCTCGCTGACCTTTATGCATTTAATTCTGTGGGATAACAGCCCCAGGAAGATGTGATGTTGTCTGGCAGACACGAAGCAAGTCTGCTACTTGAAGGGTGCAGTTACCACGCAGAGGGAAATATCTGGAGGCCCTAAAATAAAACCTGGACGCTTTGTTGGAGGTTTATGATCGCTTCACCTCTGTCGAGGCACCGAGGGGAGAAGAGGCGGTCATTCGCTTTCAGTCTCTGTTACAGAGTAAATGGCCGAAATTGGACCCAAACAAGGAAAGAGCAGCTAGCCTGTTCTAGTCTGTGAAGCTGTTTGTAAACCAACGAGCCATTTCCATTTTGCTGCTTTGCGATTTCAAAGGTTTTTTTTTTTTTTTTTTAAAGAGAAAGGAGCGAAGAAAAGTCAGGGAAGTTTCAAAATATATTTTTCACGGTCTTATATTTGTTTACTCATGCATTTTATATCACGTATTTATTCAATGTTTTAATTTTATCGTTGATCAGATTGTGTCAAATAACAAGTACTGCTTATGAAATATCTGTCTCATTATGGAAATACAAAACTATAAATAAATAGACAATATACTATATGCATGTCTTCAGACCATGGTTTCTGGAGAAGCAAGTTGCGGTAAGATCAGTAGGGTTTCCCTTCCTAAAGAATCAGAATCGCGGTGAGCGCCAGACGCGTTTCTAAACACTTCTGCAAAATCAGAACTTCAGCAAAGATTTTGTTTGTTTAGGGGTACTCCGAGTGCAGCGCCTCGCTCCCCTTCCCAGGCTCCTCCCACAGAGATACGCTTGCTTGGCGGGCGGCTCGTGGATTCTGATGGAACTGCGGAGATCGGAGCGTTTTAACCAAGCCTGCTGCGCCACTTTGCATGGCAAATTCGAAGTCTCGACCTCCAGATCCAGTATAAACACTGGATATCTGAAACGTAAATCTCTCTCATTATATTGCCCGGAAAAAATCAGTTGCTCAAAAAGGCCACTTCCTGGAGAACGATTTACAGCATCTTCCAGCGTCACCCAGCCATCATCGTTGCGGCAATACAATGCCTGCCTGTTGCCAAGGCAACCTGGAGACTCCATGTGGTCACCAGGAGACCACTCGACTGGAAGGAAGTTTTAGCGATGACATCATCGCTGTTCTGTCGGCGCCGCGGCGGTTGGATGACGCCATAAGACCCTGTAAATCACTAGTGAGGACGCGGTCAATCGAACCTGCTCCTAAGTCGCCGAATCAAAGCTGCTCTCCCAGAATTCTGAAGATGCTCGCTTAAGAAAGAAGGCGCGTGTGTTTCAAGGAACTTGCTTCCAGCTGTCTGTAGATCTGAGCAGACCTTCAAGGCAACAGAAAGTAGGAACCGTAAAATTTGCATCGTGCAGAACCCACGGTTACTCTTTCGGATCCACGGCTTGCAAGAGTGCACATGGTTTACATTTCTATGCCCCATTTTAAATATATAAACAAGCAAGTTAGGATTCCAGAATGACTAGGGCAAAGTTTGATCCCACTATGCAACAAGATCTACTCCGATGGATTCCTCTAAGAGGGGATGAAAAACAATGAAACATTAAAGATGGCTTTTCCTCCGGTGTGTAGTAACTTGTGTTTATTACATTGTAAATTCCCTCAGGCCCCTTTTCAGTGTCTTCAAAGGCACTTTTAATGAGTTTTTGGTAGTATGCAAATACTATACGATTCATCGTCGAGAAAAAAAGGTGGTGGTCAGCCCTCATATGGGGCACGAAGTTTTAAAATAGAATACATAATGGTGATCTTATAGTATAGGCAATTATCTGACATATGTAAAACTCCTTCAAAAGAGAGACTATGCTAAGTAGGTATAAGCATAGCTGAGTACACACAAACATGTTTCACATATGTATATTTCGGTAAAAATACAGTTCTACTACTATATTACACAGATTAGAGAGATAACTATTCTTTCACCTCTGTTTTATATCTTCATTCAACTAGGAGACGAATGAATCCCACAGCCACGGAGATCACTGAACATTTATTTTACATTCAGATCGATTCTAGGCGATTTTCGCCTTCTTGGATGCCCTTTCGCTTCTCCCCCACCCCTTACCCCTTAAAGCAGCTCTGAATTACTGGATTTCAGACAAAGAAAGCAAGGTCTCAGAGTAAAGGCCCTAAGGCACCTTCTTTTTAAGGAAAAGAAAGGAAAAATAATTGCACGTGGTGTCTCCTCCTTCTCCCGAGGGAGCTATCGCATGGTTCTTAAGAGCATCGGCTCTTCCGGCAGTGAGTTTTGAACTTCTCGGGGGAAACAAAGCAGCAATAGCAACGATAATTAAAAAAATATATTATTAAAAACAAATGTAAAAGGTGATGAGAAATCAGCGGAGGCCCTTGACAGGGCCGTCGCCAGTAAGCAGAAGGCCTTGGAGGGCGGGGTGGGAGTCTTCGGAGGCCCCACGTGGGCGACCCCGCGGGAGTTCTTGCTCCCCCCGTTTTTTTCCTGCCTGTTCCCGCCAGGCCACCTTCCTTCCTTCCTTCCTTCCTTCCTTCCGTCCTCCGCGCGTGTCTCAAGGGGTGCCACCGCTACCGCTACTGCTGGCGGCGGCGCTTTTGACCTTGGCCGCCACCTTCTTCTCCTTCACCCTCCGGTTCTGAAACCAGATGGTGATCTGTCTCTCGGTGAGGTTGGTGGCGACGGAAATCTTCCTCCTCTTGTCCTTGGTGATGAATTTGCTGTTGGAGTATTCCTTCTCCAGCTCTTTCAACTGCCCTTTGCTGTACGGGATTCGCTTCTTACGGCCGCGCCGGAAGGTACAGCTCTCGGGGGGCGGCTGGCTTGCGGCGGCTGGCCGGAGGGAAGAGAGAGAGGGAGACAGGGGTTAAAGGAGCCGCGAGTGGAGGGCCAAGCAGGCAGCCTAGTCGAGGCAAACGTTCAGCGAAGCGGGCTCCCTTTGTTGGCCGCCTCCCCGGGGCCCCGGAGAGAGCGGCGGGAGCCCGGGGGGGCCCCCCCCCCCCCCCCCCCCCC